TTAGTTTTTCTTTTTTCGAACCCGCCTAATAATTCCATGCATAGGAAGTCAATCAGTGAATGCAATTGGTTTTTGAGTAATTGTCTGTCATTCTAATAATTGTCATTAAAATGAAAAACTGACGTGTTATTTCAAATCAACATTTTGTATCAGTAGATGGGAACCATGATTTTCTTCTGTTTTACATGTCCCATTGTGGCCTTGATTATGGATGCAGGTTAGAAAACTAACTTTTACTGCTTTAGTGCCATATCTAATAAATTGTATGTTATTGCTTTTACTATTTTTTTTCCGTTAAATTATCTTTTACTGTGTGGACTAAGTTAAAAAAAAAAAAAAAACTATCTATTATAATACACCACAATTTTTTAATGAAAAATCTATTGTTTTGTAATAATTAAAATAACACAATTAACTTAGTTTCTTAGAAAACTTCTTTGAACTTTTTGTTTTGATTTTAATTTAATTTTTGAATCCTTTTAATCTGTATGTTACAATTATTTATGCATTTTTTTACTGTTTTATATTTTAGTTAAAAAGTTGTCAAATTAATTATTACATAACATAAATAATGAGATGTAATAAATAATGAATATAATAATTATTACATAAAAATAATATAATTAAAAAATTGAAAAATTATCAAACTCGTTTTTCACTTTTGCTTATCAATACCTTCGTGAAATTTTTTATGAATATATCATAAAAATAAGATGAGACTCTACAAGAAAAATAAATAATAATTGAATGATTATTTGATTATATATTTATAATCTATAACAATATATAAAGGAAATATTGCTTTGATGTTTACTAAACAATTATTTATATATATATATATATATATATATTAATTTATATTAAGAATAAAATAGGTAAATATATATATATATATAAATAATTATTATCTTTAAAAATAATAATTACTCATTTTTTTAAATCCCTAATTTATTTTATTTTATTATGGAGATACAAAATGTATTTTTTCCTATTAGTAATCGATAATTATAATAAAGGAAGTACCACTTCTTCTTCTTTTTTACTTTTTATTAGATTATTAACATTACAATTTTATACATTTAGTTGAGTTGTCTTTGCAGTTTAAAAATTATGAATACATCACTGATTGAAATAGTTTTTAATGATGTGATGAGGACTCAGGAAGGAAGCGAGGTTGCGGATAAACTGTTCAATGATTTGTCACTTTGATGATTTCATTATTATTAAACCTGTTTGGCTATTGATATAATTCAAGTGCATGGAGTTGCAATAATGGTTTGATTGTCTTGTTATTGATGATAATCCAGTACAAAATATTATGGTTTCTTCAAGTTGTTTAGTGTTGTGGTTTCTACAACGCTCACAAAATGTTTGTGATTAATTCTCTTTGAAGGCAAATTTGATTTATGTTTATTATTTTTATGTAAGTTTCTATTTACAGTGGTTAAGTGTGTGTTATGAATGGTTCAACATTGATATTATGTTTTGTATATGTCTCGAGTGGTTAAATATTATTTTGATTTCTTTTTTTGATCGTTAAACTATGTTGCTTTTTGCCATATAGTTGTTAAACATTTATGTTTGTTATTTCTATCTTTTAGATGGTTAAAAGTTTGTTTGGTTACAGGTTGTTTATATATATTTTTGTAATTTTTTTTGCGTCAAATTGATAAAATATGAGAAAGTTATGATGTGTTGTTTCATGATTGATGTGAAAATTCACATCTCATATCAAAACCAAATATGCTTTAAGAATATTTGTTTCTATTAAATGATTAAGCCTTATATATTGTCTATTGACTCTTGATCATTTTAGTTTTGTATATCTTTAAATGATTTATTTTCAACATCTTTCAATGTATTTTGCTTTATTTTACAATTAATATTGTAACTTGATATTAGAGATATAAGATTTTAGTATTATTAGAATTTGTTATATAAATTACATCTATACTCATGTAACTTCATTTTTATCATTTCAGTAACTCCACCTTTTAAGTTTTATCTTCTTTTTTTTTTTCCTCTTTCTCCCATTTGAATATGTTTCATAACAATCTTAACTAATAAATAACATTTTCCTCATCCTAGAAGTAAGAGCATCAATGGCCAAATATTCTTTTGAAAACTCTTTGTGCTGGCTCACTAGTGAATTTGGCTTTGGTTCTTAACTTGTGTCCCTCAATTGTCGTTTATGCTACTTTTTTGTCCCTAAATAAACTTATTGCCTCATAATTTGGTGTTTGAAAGAGTTGGCTTCAATTCAAATTTCATGCTCGTGGTGTGTGTCAATTTACTGAAATATTTTGTCATTGTCAATCAACAAATATTTCTTCTAAATTTACAAATTGTTGCCCCTACAGTTTGATTTCTACAAGAAACTGTTAAATATGATGGCCAATAGTGTATATCTTAGTACAATATAATAATTTTTACATCATATCTCATCATTTCTTCTTCTTCTTTTATCTTAAAGGGCATTTGATATGCAAATTTTTTTTTATTTTTTTTATAATATTAAATTAAAAATATTATTTTTTATGTTTGGTAGTTATTTAAAAAAAAATTCAAGAATTATTTTTATCTCACTTTTTCATAAAAATATTTCTACATGAGAGTGAGAATCTAACTTTTTTGAGTCAAGGAGAAGTTTAATGCATATAAAAATATCATAATATTTTTTTTCAAAACAAAATTTATTTTTCTCTCACTCCTTTATTTTTTGTTCTCCCTCTCTTTCTCTCTCTATCTCTCTCTCACTCTCACTCCTCTCTCTTCCTCTCCCTCCCCTTTTTATTTATCTTTCTCCCTTTCTCCTCACACACTCACTTTCCATCTCTTCTTCTCTCCCTCCCTCTTCCTCTCTCTCTCCTTCTATTTCTCTTTCTCTGTCTCTCTTTATCTCTCCCTCTCTCTCTCCCCCTCTTTCTCCCTCGAATATCTCTATTTTTCTCTTTGTCTTTTTTTTTTTTTGTATTTCATTATTTTTTAACCTTATTAATTTCAATAATATTATTAAAAATCTATTTTATTTTTACATTTTAATGGTATTTGTTAACATTTTTTTTATTTTTTTTATTTGAATGAAATGAAATAATATATTTTTATCCTTCTTACTTATTATGTAATATTTTTCTTTGTTATTTCTTTTGTGAGTTTGGTATTTAAATAATTTTAACTAGTTTTCAACTTTTTAAAATAGTTTAATATCATATTTGTAATAAGATTTGAATAAATAAATTTATCTAATGAATTTATATATTTTAATAAAAGATTTTTATAAAAAGTACTTATATACCTACAAATATATTATTATAACTAAATATAAAAAAATTTAATTTCTAAAAATCCTATATGAATATTTCCAAGTACTGTTTATGAATAACTAAATATATTTTAATTATTTTTGAAATCATGTAATTCTCATGAATCATGATTCTTGATTATGAAAAAAATTTCTCTCCTACTAAACATTCCCTTAATGAAAAATGTTTTTTCAAAAACCTACAAAAAAGACAAAAACAACATTACATCATCTTTAAAATTATTTTCTGTTTCTCCTAAATTCGATTATTTTATTAATTAATATTTTAGTACTCAACTTTGTTTTGTCTTATAATGAGTATCTTTTGGGTGTTTCTCTCTGCTAAAGAGTTTCCAAATTTCAGGACTCTTACTTAATGATGAAACTAAAGTATGGGTTTACGATCATTGAATGAGAAAATAACTTCTAATAATGAGAACATCAAATGAGCAGGTATTAGTAAATACATAATTTATTAACAATTAATTGTTTATATTTCATCATTTTAAATGATTTTCTAATTATACTATTCAACATTGTGATTTATTTGTCCACTTCTTCAGAGGTCCCAAAAAATGACATCTTAACAAATCTGATAACTTATATATATATATATATATATATATATAAATATATTGCCTTTAGTTATGTATCCTTCCATTAAATTTGACAAAATTATAGAAATATTTCTTATTTTAAAATGAAATGTGTATATTTTTATATTGAATTTTGTCAAATATTAGTCCACCCTTTGGTAAAACTGTACTTACACGATTTGAATGTACCAATACAACAATTCAAGTGACTGCTTGCTAATGATAAGTATATTAATGTTAAAAATATATGATTTAAATAAATTGAAAGCGTATTTTGCTTTAACAATCACAAAATGAGCTTTTGGTTTTGCTGGTAGTGAAGGTTACATCATTCTGCGGTCAAGTTGTCAGGTTTAATAAATTTTGCTAGATATGTAAATGAATCTAAAATACATTTGAATCTAAGACCTTTGAATCAAGGAATTTGTACAAACGGCTGAGCTCACCAAATACCTCATCGACCATTAAAAAACATTGCCATCTTTATAAATAACTGATGCAAGGATTTCCAAGATGGCTAATGAGTTAAGAAAGAGGAAGTGTTGTAAAAATGAAATCCTCCATCTAGTTTACTCATTCTTGCGTCGTCTCTCAAATTGTTATGTTCCTTTAAGAATCTATTTTTAGCATGAAACTATTTATTTTATGTAATAAACTAGCAATCACCCAGACTTAAAAGATAAACTATAGGCCAAGTAGTGTACTTACAGCGTTGCTAAGGGGTGGCCAACTTGCTAGCTAGGGAGACTGATATAAGAAAAGCAATCACGCCAGGGATAAAATAAACTCATAATTTAAATAGCCAACTACAATCATTTCGATCCAACGCTGATACTTTCTTGAAGCTTTCAACAGCCGCATCTAGATCATTGAGGACCATTTATGTCTGAGATTAAGCAGACCAAAACATAAACAACTAATTGCCAGATATGATACACCACAATGATTCAACTTACCAAATACATGAATGAGTTATCCCCTATGTGGAGGGCAGTTAAAGGAATAACATGATCACAAACACAGTTTTGAAACCTACTAGCATAGGTCTTATCAAAAGTAGCATATGGCAAATACGACACTAAATTAGAAATGAATTTGTCTGCACAGATTAACAGCATCATTTTGTTGAATGAGAAGAACGTTCAAAGTCTGGAAGAACCTAGTAGAGATAATCCTCAGCTACATGAATTTAGAAGCCACACTCAAGACGGTAAATAGCCAAATACCAACTAGTGATTAAGCAAAAATTGAAAAGTGAATTGTTCACACATCAGAAAGTGCGTGATGATCATGAAGAGACCGCAACCTTTCGACGGGAGTCAATTCCTAAGAGCCTAATAACACTTGCAGAATTACGGACCAACGTTCTATCGACTTTCAATCATCTACACGACCCCTTTTCTGTTATCTCCCATAAAGTGTAGCCTTAAAATTCATCATTTGGTTTCTTCAGGAGTTGTTAACATGTTCCCTTTTTTTTCTTTTCCATTTTCTTTCTTTTTTACTTTCTTATCTTTTTCTCTGTTTCTCATATCACTTACTACCGCACTCTCTTTCTCTTTCTCTTCCACTTCCACTTCTTTTTGGTTTCCATGCCTCTTTTTCTTCCTTCCCAATACACCCCAAAATGGAATCCATCTTTGGTATTTCCACTTCCTCAATAGGTAGAATAGGCTCTGCGTCAAAGCACCTTCTTTGCACGTCAAAGAAGCCCCCAACAGGTTCAGTGCCTGTCCAAATACACATAATGAATTTCACTTCTAAATTGAAAATGGCCAAATACACATATTGTACGAAGTTCATTATAATCAATTATTTGACCAACTAATTAAGGCAAATGTTAACTAAAACCATTGATATGAATCAAATTTTCTTGAACCAATATTATGGCAGCGAAAGAACAAGCTGTCAAGAGTGAATTGTGGATTTTAATTACCTCGTGTGACTTCCTGATTTCCACCAAATGTTCCTCCAAATCATTCAACTGGATATTCTCCAGCTGTTGCAGATACAAAATGCTGGAAGTAGTTGTGATTGGTATGACTTGCAGATCATCCCTCACAACAAATAGACACGGCCTCTTCATAAATCCCACAGCAAGTTCTCTTGCTCCATCACAACATCTTGGCTCAAAAAGTTTCACTTCTTTTGGATCTTGTACCATATCCTTTCTCTTTGAAATCATTATACGCCCCATATTATCTTTCACTGCTCCAGTGCCATACCAATACTTGGGAGTGTCTTGAGAAGCATTTAGGTTATTGCTCTTACAACCAAATTGAGGAGCCACCCTTGGATTCAATAAGGATTTGTTTGATGATTCTGTGAACCATGATGGATTCAGTTTCTTTACACTTGTGTACAAGTTATCAATGCTTCCCAAGGATAATTTAGCATTCATAAGGTTAAGAATAGACCCAAGAGGTGTTGTGAGGAAACTGACAAGAAAATCGATAAAATCTGCATTTGCTTCGGCAAACAGAACCTTGTTCTGTGATTTGCTGACTATTACCTTGATTTCAAAATTATCTTTCAAATGACTTGGGCCAGTATATGGTGAGAAAGTGTAGGATGGCTTAGATTCTTTGTTTTCAATGAATGCATCACTTAGAGGAGATTTGGAGGTTAATGCTTGCTTTAGTATGTTAAATATCTGGGGAAAAATAAAAAGCAGGTTTTAAGCTTGTAAAGTTATAATTATAATTCATTAAACAAGGATGAACGTGGTCTAGAAGGACTTTAAGAGTTTCTCTAAATGAAAAATACTTTTAATTTTTATAAAGAAACTCTTAAAAAAACTTTCTAAACTATAATCAAACAGGCTAGAAATCTCTTATCTCTATCAATGTAAAAAGGAAAGTTCCCGCACGTCTACAACATTACAATCTAATTAGGGAACTCGAGGAAGGTTCTGAGCTACATGCATAAGTGGTAAGTGAAAGTCGCAGTATTTTGAATTTAATGTATCCGAATCTGAACTTTCTATCACAAAATAATCATTTTTAGTCCCTAAAGTATTCCTTTTCATTGGCAAGAGATTAAACCTCCTACTATTTGTTTCCGAATACATACTCATGCCCAAGCTTTTAAGTGCGCACCAGTCTAACATATTATTTGATAGAAACATCTTATTGGGAGGAATTTACTCTTTCTACAACTCCCTTCCCCCTTATTTAACCAAAAAAAGCCATGCAAGTACCAACTCATATGAATAAAAAGCAATTTAGATTACCTCATTCACGCCTAGATCTACAACCACTCGATCCATCTTACTCAAGTCTTTGTATCGATGTTTGAGGAGTGGTTGAACAGAGTTACCTGGAGAGCTTCGGATAACTCTCAAGTCATCAAAGATCAAGAACATGGCATCCCCTTTAACAAAAACACCATTCTCCTCTTCCTTGGGTTCTTCTACAAGCAGCTCCGTTTCTTTTTTCATCAATTTCCCACAGTGGCACCTTGCCCCATCAAAAGTACTCACCAACACCACCAACAAATCCTTGTTCCTTGAACAGCTGTGACACATGAAATACTTTGTGGGCAGTGTATCATCCACCTTCACTTTTAGTTTCTGGCAAGAGGCTTCTAAAGGGTTGCGCGGAGATATCAACATGTCCTTGCATATCTTGTTCCAGAATACATCAGGGTTGAGACCTTTCACACTCCGGTACAGATTGTTGATGCAACCAATCTCAAATGGTTGGCTGTGGGGAAATTTGCCCTCGGACTGAAGCCTGGTGATGGTTCCCAATGGAAGGGAGAGGAAACTAAAGAGAACATCTACAAAGTCTCCACTTGCCTCTGCCATAGCTACACGCTTCTTTTTACTGTCCACCCAATATGTCAAACCGAGTGTTACTCCTTCGTTGGAAGCCATAGCTGAAACATAATACTAAAGAATAGTACTATTGTTGAAGCAAAAATAGATTTATGCGTTTCATTGAAACGGAAGCATGCTCCGTGAACTGAACGTTGTGTATGTGCATGATTAGTTCATAAATAGGTTTCGATTGAAAAAAGAAATTCTCTTAAAAGTGATTAACCAAATTTTCAATAGAGACTCCTTGTTAACAAAGTCGTAAATTAAAAAAGTTACAAAAGAATTTTAATATACAATTCATCATTATATATAGAAGTGATAATTAAATAAGCAAAAGACGGGTAATTAGTCTAACTGACATTTTGCATTATGTCTTAGGGATGACAAAAATACTCGCATCCGTGGATACCTGCGGATAAAATCCGCTACGGATAATAAATGAATAGGCTAATTGGGTACCAGTGGATAATGGGGACCGATAATTTTTTACCTGTTTATAAATGGGGCGGGGGCGGGTATGATGATATCCATACCCGTGGATACCCGTTTAATATTATTTCTTAAATACCTTAATTATTTTTATACCACATAGCTCTAAAACTACACTCTCTCATCTTATTTTCTTACAAAAGTGAGGTTGATGAAGTTACTAACATGTGTTAAACATGTTATAGAATTATGTTATATGTAATTTGATTAATTTTCTAGCTTTGATTGGACCAATAATATTTATGTACTTTAAGTTATTTACTTTCGTTTAGAATTATGAGATTGAATTATTGTAACTTTGTAATGAGACTTTAACTTACTTGTCAGATTGATGTATTTTAAGTTATTGATTATATTGCATTTTTATTATTATTTCAACAAAATTAACGTTAAATACAAATTCAAAATTATCATTAAATTTTTATTTTTAATATTTCAATGACATTAAATATAAACTTAAAATTATTTGTAATATAATTTTTTTAATTTCTTAGAAAATTTATAAATATCCATAGATACCCATACTCGCACGGATATGGGGTGGGTATGGGGCTAATTTTCATTCAACGAGGCGGGTGTGAGTTTACTATTACCCGTCCCCATGGGGTCCATTGCCATCCCTATTATGTCTACACTACTGGGAAATAAATGTATGTTTTTTATTGAATTTAAATTAGTTTAATATTTACGGTTTTCAATATCTGATATAATAATAATTAAGTAATTAAAATGATATAAGTTATTAATATAAAAAAAAATATGGTAAATTTCTACAGTGACAAACTAGCACATAAAAATAAGTTGTCCTTTGTTGGTGGTAGTAGTATCATACCAATAATTATAAAAATATATCTCATTTTTACTTTTAAAAATTATTTATTAAAATTTCTCCTAAATTAGATTATTCATTATTAAAAATATTGAAACAATTATTAGAAGAGTTTAAAACACAAAAATCAAAAATTTATTTAAGCATTAAAATGTTCAAAATAAATGAAAATCACATAAAATTATTTGTAGGCTTAACTATTTGGTATATTTTAAAGGTGTAAACAAATGAATTCTTTCCTCTTAAGCATTTAGCCTTTAAAAATTCCTTCTTATTATGATTATAAATTTTATTGGTTATGTAATTGTATATTCATGTACTTGTAAAATAAAATTGGAAGGCTGTTAAAAAATATTTCAACAATTTAAGTATAACTTCAAACATGCAAGAGGTTCATGTGCACTCAATACTCTTCTTTACCCTTTCTTAAAATTATCTCAGAAGAGATAGATTACACATACAACAGTGTTCATAAGATATATATATATAAAGAAAAACTTTGAATAAGGGATACAAAATATTAAAATGCTCGTATTGAACCTTTAAATATTAGAATACGAATCCTAATATTTAGAAAATGGTAGAAGAATTTAGTTGATTTAAAAAAAAAGAGTAGTGAAGATGTGTCTATTTGTTTGCATGATGGTTGAGTTGCACTCTGAAGAACAATACTAATTAGGAAGGGTGAGAATGGGGGATGGAGTATGGTGAGAGCATTTGAATTTCATTATAAATAAAGTATTATTCATAATCATAGGTAGTAAAGAGAATGAAGATGTTTTGCTTCAGCATATTCATAACATACAAAAGCATAAATTGAAAGAATTTTTCTCTTATCAATAAAAGTGATATAACTAGTTTGGCACACAATGTTGCATATATTTAAGTCATCTAGGATGTTATGTGTATGACTCTTGTTGATCATTAAATATACTTGTTATTACTTTTTGTTTAGTCTTTGATGTCTTTTGATATGAAATTTTGAATTCTATTTGTGATTAAATTCTCTGTTGAGACTGATCTTTATAAATGGACCATTAGTGGCCTTTCCGGTAAAAAAAGTTAATTTAGTGAATCATCAATGGACTTGTGTCATAAAAAAAATATAGAATATCACAATCAATACCTTGAACCAATGTGGATATCAACTTACAATGGTTTTGTGATTATGACATATTTAAACATGTATAACGTTCACTTCATTAAATTATTGTCTAATAGCATCCGATTTTCTTAACACAATTGCCTTCATGTACCACAATATCCGTCCTGTGCATTTGAACATTTCACCACATACTTCTTTTTACTCAATAACAAAAATCTTTAATGCATCTTTAAAACTACTATTTTATTGCATTTTTATTTTGAAACTCTCAACTCATATATAAATCTTGTCCAATAGTCTAAGTATTAGGCACATTCATCCTTTAAATTTCTTCCTCATCGATGGCTCCAATTAATGTTAGTATGTATATCACTCCAAAAATATCATTCACTCCCACTAACATAATCATGAAAAAATGAATATACAATAAATAATTAAAACATAAGAAATAAAAACAACAATAAAATAACCTCGTTTATTTATATTAACAAGCCTTCAACAAAATGACAAGTTAAAATGAGTTGAATCATTTGACTGTTTAGTAAAATTTGTTTTCTCACATGTATCAAATGATTCACAATCATCTACACCATTCTTGTCTAATTCATTCCCACTTTGATATGACGATGACATATGATAGTCATCATCATCCTCGTTATCGTTATCTTCAATTCTTAGCATAATTGATATGGTAGTTGTGATTCATCATCAACTTTTAGGAAAAATACCCAAATTCTCTTATGAGATTGTTGAAGTACCAACAATATTTCATCATACAAATTCATTTTTTTCATATATGATAATAAGATGTTTCTATCAAGCATTTATAATCACTAAATTCTAGTGTTTCATATTGTTTTTACCATCACTAATTGAAACTAAAAACCTATTTGTTATAAAAGATATTACTTGACTGGATAGGAGCTTTAATTTGTCATGAATCTTTATTTCTAACATATCCAAAATTAAACTATGTCTGATGTAATTCCTTTCTAAAATCATCCAAATGTTACACCTTTAGGGTCTTTAAACATCCTCCAATTCACATAAATAAATGTTACAATTTGATATATAATTATTGTTAATTTATCTAAAAAATATTAAAATATCAAATGAATAGTAAGTAATCACTAAATCATAAAATAAATTAATATAACATGGAAATATTATTGTACAACAAAATTACTACTCAAGAATGATATTGAGCTTGCATAAAGCAAGTATTTAAATGGAGTTAAAGCGGTGAGTAATATTAAAAATAAATAAATAAATAAATAAAAAACAATGGTGTGTCGTGTTTTGTACCGACAAAAGTGAAAATATAGTTGTTATTTGTGCTAGCATTGACAAAAATAAAACATGATGCTAAACTATGTTTTTCTATTCTAAAAGTGAAAACACAACAAGAAGTTCCGTCAAAGTTAAAAATAAATAAATAAAAAGTGAAAATACAACAAAAGTTGTGTCCAGGAAAAAAAAAAAAAAAAAAGACACGATAGTGTGTTGCGTCTTATACATGTGGTAGTATCTATAACACCCTAGTTTTTAGTAAAATAAAATAATTAATTAATTAATTAAGTGTTTTTAAAAAATTAGGCTTAAGTTATTTGATTTTATAAATTAACTGAAAAATATTAGAAAATAAAATAAAAAAGACTTTTGAAATAAAAATATTTTAAATTACTGGGTTTTAGTCCCTAATAGCCTAATGGTCCTTTGTTAACCAAAAGATGGAGCTTATCAGTCTAAAACCTAATATTCTCTTTATTATTATTATTATTATTATTATTATTATTATTATTATTATTATTATTATTATTATTATTATTATTATTTCTTCTATAACCTTGAGCCATAATCACATGTGGAGGTGTTCGAGTTAGAGAAGAAGATCACCCTATTACATCCATGTCTTTAGAGGAATGTTTTCTAGGTAAGAGAGAATGAGTCTTGCTCATAAGTATAAAATAATTGTGGATTGTAGAGTTGTTTCTTAATCCCATAGGTTTTGTAATTGTATGATTTTGGAGGAGTTCTAAATACTTCAAAGGTTAGTTGGTTAATATAAGTGTTAGGCAATTGATTGCTTCTTGAGATTGATGGATTGAATTGCATGAATTTTTGTAATCTATTTTGCTCAATTTGATATATTAGGTTTATGAAATTTTTTGATTGAATCGAAAGTGATTTTTGTATGAAATATTTTTTAAACCATTTTTATGCTTTATAGTTAACTAAATTATTGATATGAGAGATGTGACTCATAGACTAGTGTTTGCATTATTTGGGGATAATGGTCTTAGAACATGGTCACAGTGCACACAATCATGTTGTGGTGACCACACGATCATGCTCAATGTGAGCATGGTCATGTTGAGTGTAACATAATTGTGCTAGATTAGTAATGGCTATGCTCCTTTTCCCAAGCGATATAAACATGGATTTACAAAAGGTAGCACAACCATGAAGTAAAAACATGTTTTGGTAATGTAACGACCCACCCTAGGCCGTCACATCAATAACCAACCAAAATAAAATAATATAAAATAAAGAAAATAGAGCAAAAGCCAGCTACGCTAGAGTGTAATTATACAATAACATATAATTTGTTTCCACAATATATAAAATAATCTGCTATGGCAGAGTCATCATCCTTAGTAAAGTTATACAGTAATCCAAAAGATAATATAATTACAATGTCATGAAAACATTAAAATAAGACACCCTAGGTGCTGGTCAAGC